CCCGGCCACATAGCCGAGTACGTTGACCCAGGAGTTCGGGGCTAACTTCCATTACCCCAACTCATACCCATCCAAGATCCGCTGAACAGCCGGATGTAGTGGGAAGCGCATCCCAGCCTTGATGGCCGCCTCGTAGCAGCCAAAGCAGGCGCCATCATAACTGGTACCAGCCGGCCAGACGACTGTGTCTTCTGGATCCAGCACGAACACTAAAAAGCCAGGGCCCATTGTGTGGTTTGCGATAAAGCTCCCCACTTTCTCTTGCATGGCCGTGATCCGGCCTCGAGGTACCGTGCAGTAGTAGGGGGTATTTTGCTCTCGGTGAGAGGCGGATGGCTCCGCCCAATCGTCCCCCTTCTCAACTGCGTGAGAAAGCCTCGCCTCTTGTAGGCGAATGTTTTTCTCTTCTGTGTCCAGAGAAGCATGGCCAGAAGAGCTAGACTCGGATTCGTCCTCTGACGAGTCCGAAGAGGACGACTCCTCCCCTCTCCCGGAGGGGCCCGCCTCTTCTCCTTTAAAAGGAGCAGGAGAGAATGTAGAATTGTCAACTGTAAAATGGGAAGGGGTCACTTTGACTCCTCCCTCAGAACTGCCGGCTTTCAAGCCGCTTTGTTTCACTTCCACATCTGGCGCCTGGTCAGATGTTTCACTAATCGGCACCCTGTGGGAGTAGCCGTCTGAGTTTGAGATCCTGGCAGTCTTTTTTGTTCTGGCCATCATGCTCTGCATAGACACAGATACAGTCGGACTTTGTATAAAGGGCAAAGATGGGTCCAGAAAAGGGCAGGCGGCACTCCTAGTCCTAGATTCAGCCGTCCCCGGTGACCGACTGATCACTAACCTAGGTCGTGTCGTGTGCTTCCGTGGTGCCATTTCAAAAAGGAAAAATAAAGAAAAATAAAAGGATGAGAACCGACGGTTACCTGAACGAGCGAAGTTGACGAAGTTCTGAAAATTCTGAGTAGCCGGCTTGTCAGAGCAGATGGTAGGCAGAAAGAGTCCCGAATGTCAGAGCAAGTTCAGGGGTCCGAATGTTCTCTTCAAAAGTTCTCAAGTGTGAAAATGACTGAAGTCAACACACCCTTATATAGGCAAAATGAGAAGGCGAAGAGTCACTCCCAAAATTCAAAATTTGGGCGGGAAAATCTCTCGGCCTTTCACCGCGTGACACCTGTAGCAGGCCGTCGCCTGTTACGGTGCGACACCTGTCACAGGTAACACGTGACCAGTCACGTGCCACCTGTGAGGGGCAAATGATTAGGGGATTTTTATCCACCAATCAGCATCTGACACGTGGACCAGCCAGGTTCCGCCGCGTGTCCATCACGTAGGCCAATGGGAGCTTTCCACGTGTCAACCAGAGATACGTCCTCCATGGACCAATTGCGACGCGACACGTGTCCATCCATGCCAAATGGATAAATCAGCCAACAAGGCCCAATTTTTGTGGGAAGCCCAATCAGCCTTAGGTTTAACCTAAACCTAGTATTGGCATGCATCCCAAGGCATATAATATGCCCATTAATCCTCATTAAAGGGGATTACGCACATTTAACACTCTCACCTAGAGAGACCCAATTACATTTTTTCCGCATTAATTACTCCTTAATCAAGTACTAACTTGACCGTTGGAGGCGGATCTCCCATCATCCGGAGCATCCGTTTGTTTTGCAGGTACAGGCGTCCGGTTCCAGTCTCGGAATTGTAACTCTCCCGCAGGACATCAAAAAACCCCGAAACACCACTAGCCGGTTAACAGCTGAAAAGAGTTTTTTTTTTTCGGTTTTAAAAGTCACATGTCAGCACGTGTTTGGTCCAAAATTAAATAAATAAAAAAAAACCCAAACACCCGAGCCACTCCCCTTCCCCCTTCCCCGCCGTAAAACCCTTAGCCCAACCCCTAACCCCACCGAAAATCGGCCGGCCGCCACCTTAAACCCCTTAAAACGGTCGGCCGACCCCTCCTAACCCCCAAAACCAGCACAACCGCAATCAACCAGGGTCTTGGGCAAAACATCATGGATGACGTTGAGTATGTTAGCCTCGCATTTGCAGAGGAAGTACTAATGTAGGTTTGATATGTATGTGCAAATACATATCAAACATTAAAATATTGAAAAGTATTGTAAAGCACATGGGGGTGGGAGAAAAGGAGGAGAGAGATGGGCATGTGGGACCAGTTTTAAATGTACCACTGAAAGCCTATATAATATCATTGACTATGTAGTGATTCTATTTCTACACGTAGTTAGTACCACTGAATGAATATACAGTACCATTGAATGAATATATAGTACCACTGAATGTTCAATGATACTATTTGATCATCTAGTGATACTATTAATCACCCAGTGGTACACTTAAATTCAGCACATGGGGGTGAGAGAAAGGAGGAGAGAGATGGGTAAATTTCATGCGAAATGTCTCTTATGCCCCTTGATATGTATGTCCAGGTACCTATCAAACCTCCCTTTGGAAAGCCTCCGCATTTGCATATTGTTATGCCGGCTTTATAAACAAATCTGTCATACTTTTGTTTTACTCTCTTATTTTAATGCTTTTTGATTAGTTATATATGCTGATTGATCTATTATGGAAATTAATAAATATTGCCGAAACTACTCGCTTGAAACGCCGCAAAATCGAAGATCAAGATAAACATCAACAATAACAACAGTTGTCCTTGATTTTACCGGTGGCGTGTGATTGTGAGAATTTTGACCTTGAAATTTCCAGTGAAAAACCTAAGGAATCCACCATTGATGATGACTTTCCTAAGTTCGGTTACACTTCTGTTTGTGGTCGGAGCAGAGATATGGAAGATGCGGTTACAATTCGTCCTTCTAGCTGCACAAAAGACAACTCCAAAAATCAAACCGGATTAAATTTCGAATTTTTTTTAACACAAACGCAATCAATTTACCAACTTTCCGGTGAATTTTTGTCCTCGACTCTAACTATGCTTGGGGTATTGGTCTGTAGGTGGTTGATCGCGGTTGTATCAGTTTTGGGGGTTGGGAGGGGTCAACCGGCCATTTTAGGTGGTTAAAGGGGGCTGCCGGCCGGTTTTCGGTGGGGTTAGGGGCTGGTCTAAGGGTTTTACGGTGGGGGAAGGGGGAGGGGATTGTGACTGAGGTGTTTGGTTTTTTTTTTTTATATATATTTTTTAAAATTTTGAACCAATCACGTGTCGACACGGGTCATGATTACCTGTTATAATAGGTCATTGACTCGTCATTGCCCGACTGGGACCGCTGAAAGCAAACTCATAGCATAATTGGGATTATTAGATAACAAACCTTAGTTGGGATTAGTAAAAGCAAATCACTAATAGTTGGGATTATTAAAGTGTATTATTCCTAAATAAAAAAATGTTTATTTAGTGGTATTTTTTTTTAAAGAGCCCTTTTCCTAAATAATACTAGGAAAACCCGTAATTCCCAAATTAAGGTCACTAGATGAAAGCCCGTGTAATGCACGGATTTTTAGTACACACATCTCAAAAAAATGCTTCTTATAATTCTTAATTAGACTCTTAAGTTTTTTTTTTTAATTATTTGATTCATTAATAGCTTTTGTGCGTTGAAAGGAATTTCAATTTTGTAAGGGAGATTTCTGGGAAAAAAAAAGGAAGAACTAGAAGTAGAATACAAAATTAAAATGGGAATTAATGATTTTCTTCATATGAATAAAGGTGATGGTGAGCTCAGTTATGTTCGGAATTCTTTTCTCCAGGTAACTCTAAATTTTTTAGACAAACAATTTAGACAATAAAAAAATTAATTTAATTTAATTGCTATGATAAGAGACGTTAGGCATTTAAAAAAAGATATGTTATTAAAAAAATATATATTGATAATGTCATTGAGGCTAAATAATAGGATATGACTTTCCCTTTTTTTTTTTTTATATTAATGATACTCCCTCCGTTCCCATTTGTTTTTTACGTTTCCATTTAGGATGTTTCTTTTTATTCTTTACATTGAGTTTCTACCCTTTTTTAGTCATATATATATTGGACAAAATCACCCTTACTTTACAATATAGATACTCAATTATCCCTACTTTTCCATGTGTAATTGTACTTTTTTTTAATGGTTTTCCAATACTCATTCATACTTTCTCTCTCCTCTCTCTTCTACTTTCTTCCAACTTTTGTTACCCCACATGTACAATATTTTTTTTTAAATAAAATTGTACTTTTAATCATTGATGTTATGCTAGTATACCCCAACTTTATACAATTTTTTTAAAAACTGAGCATAATTCCAAACGTCAAAAACAAAAAGGAACGGAGGGAGTAATTTTTTTTTCTTTTTAAATAAGGATGGTAGTTTTTTTTTAAGGATGAGAGGGGGGGTATTTTTGGAAGTAAATTTATCACCCAAAAACCCCCCTTTCACTTTATATATTAGACTAGTTATAATGTCCGCGCGCATTAAATTAGTAATGTACTTTTAATGATTGTGAATCGGGTTATATAGAAGTTATTCTCGCAATTGCAATTCGAATTACATGTAATCTTCTTAAAAGTGGAATTGAATTTGTTGCAATTAAGTATTAAAATAATGTTGCATATGATTTGATGATGTTTCAAAAGAATAGTCGGATGTTTATCTAAATTTCATATTGAGAAAATGGATTTGATTATTTTTGAGTCACATTGCCAATTTAAATGTTGAGATATTGGACTTCTTTGAGTCACATTATATGATATGATATTGGGGCACATTATGTAAAATCCTAAGTCATACCAATTTTAATTGTAAGAAGATATTAACAATAATTGTAAAGACACATGAATTAGTTCTAGCATTGTACCTGCTTCCTAGTTCCTAGATTCTAAGTGTTGATCATAAAAAACGGTAATTTAATCTTTTTGTGCTCTATGGGTAGAACTACGAAGATTTTTTTTTTTTTTTTTTTGGAGAAAAGCTACCAATATTTCAATACTATGAAGCTACTATTTCCTTATTATACAAAGAAAAACCCAGATGAGATGAATAAATTGACTATAAATATAAGCCTAAAAAATCACAATAAAAGTGATTCTACTTTTAACAATTCCATTTCATTTGAGCTTGCTGTTCTGGTACATCAATTTCCCATTATGTACCAACAAAGTCAATTCCAAAGTCACTCCAAAGGCCACAACATACATATCTCGAACAAGTTTTATTCTTGTTATTATCTTTATTGTCCAAGTTCTTAAGCTGGCGGGTCAGTTCTTCCACTATATCCCTCAACCTGGAGGCTCTAGCTTAGTGTCTGCCAACCTCATAGATTTTGAGCTTTTTCTTCTACTATTCTTTAGTGGCCATTGCTTCAACAGCTATCTCTTCATTAAATTTGAGCTTTTTCCCCATCAATTCAACCATTCCTGCTTTGACTCCTTAATTTCATAAGGTGCCTGCAGCAGTAGAAAGGCCATTTAGTTGCAATCCTTAGATCACATTCAAAACCAACATCCAACCCTTCTTTCTCTTTATTTCCTCTATAAAAAGAAGAGAAAAAACAAAACTGGCCGGCTAAAGTTAGAGGCTTGTGAAAGCAATTAGGGAAAATTTTGAAATTAAACCGTTACACCCACATCCATGCATCCAAATAATTCAAGCTTATTCAAGTACATACAATTAATATAAGAGACTCATCAGTCATCATCACATAGAACAAGTTGATCTAGTGACCTTTTCCAAGCAAAGCCTTTCAATTACTTTAATTATTTGCTAATTTTACAAATCTCCATCCTACTAATTTGAGAAAGAAATGCTCAAAAATTTTGGCAAACCCTATATATTAATTCTTCCACGTTGGCCCCTGATATTAAGGTTGATAAGCTTATGGTTCACGCCACTTTACCAACTCCTTATCCATTCATTTCAAATTTGAAGTCCAATTAGCCAACAAATCCAACCAAATTTGCAAACATTAGTAATTCAAAAAAATAAAAAATATAAATAAATAAACATACAAAAACTCATAAATTCAAAACAGAAACTACCAACAAATCCATAATCTAACACTCAAAACTAACAAAAATTTAAATTACCAATCAAATCATCATAATTTAAACAAAATCATTATCAAATCAACAATAATAATTCAAAATATATAAAATTAGAAGAAAAAAGTGTGCATAGAGAAATAGAACCATGAAGAACATGAAATTCACATAATCTCAATCATCATCACATTTTCGAATTTCATAGCAGTATTGATATATTTTCCCTCAATTTATCATATGAATGTCATTAATGCAAAATTCTATACCAGATAATTGAAATAATGATGACCTTTTTCAACACCAATATCAAAGATACTTTTCTTTAAATAAAGATTAGAGATACTAAGTTCACATTTTAAGTTGACATGAAGATCAAAGCTAAGCTAAGCTAACCCATAGGCAAACATGCACTGTGAGCCATGCTTGAGCTTACACAAAGATAATAATATGGAAAATAAAGGAGATACCTTCCATCAGTTTATTTACTTCCATTAACCCAAGAGGAAGGATTGCAGAAAGGCAAATTAAAGTAAATAAGACCTCCGAAACATTCCAGCTCGTTTCAAAATCCATGGAATCTTGGGTTGTCGGGCTAAGATTACACTGTGAGCCATGCTTAAGCTTCACAAGTGTCGATTATGCATCATAAAATAAAAAATGCAGCACAATGACAAACCATACAAACCCACTGAAATCAAATTATATCAATCTAAATGCTACTTGAAAAATTATATTGATCTCAATTTAAATAAATGAGGAAAGGCTACTGGAAGACTAGGTGTGTAGAACAACGAGAAATGTGGGGTCTTTCTTATTCCTTCTCTTTGTTAACCGCAATTGTTTTACCAGCCAATAGCCTTTTCCCTCCTTTTCCTGCCATTGAGCCCTTGCTAAAAAACTACTTTTCATACCCCATTTCTTTGTACCATTCAATCAGCCTAGAACAAAAAACCAAATAAATTATCAATTAGGACCATTTGCTTCCAAGATTCATAATTAGAAACAAACTCAGATGCATATTCCACAAAAATTATCATTAAACATTCAAATTACACCAAAAATTCAAAATTTTAAAAGGCATAGAAAAAAAGAAATTGTACGAAGCACAAGGCTGCTTGAATTTGAATGAACTTTTAGCCATCTAAATTTTTAAAAATTAAGGTGCAATTGGTATCTGCAAATACCAAACCAAAAAGAATAACATGAATTATTGATTTTTTGAAGAAAATCAGCAATAGAAATAAAACATGTATCACATATGAACATGATAAAATCATAATTACCCGGAAAAGTTCCAAGCAAACAAAAATCAAATTCATCACAATCTATAGAAAACCCAAATGTTGACAGATTCAACGATTTAATCAAACAAAGTACCTACAAAATCCCATAATTATGCAAAAAATTAAACCCATAAATCATCTTTAAAAACCTAGATTATGAAATTTATATTTGAAGATTAAAAAAAAAAAAAAAAAAAAACCTTACCTAAAAGCCACATTAATGGTGCAGACCCAAATCGTCGTCATCAAATATTGCAGAAATCGAATAGATCTAAAGAAATTCATAAAATTTCAGAGTTTAATCGATTCAAATTAAATTTAGGAACTTGAATTATCCCTGGATTTGTAATAACCACTTACCTAGGTTAGATGAGATTAACTTAGAAGAATTCATGAACTATGATGCACATGATTGCAACCCTTTCGAACTTAACACATGATGATTTAGGAGAGAATTGAGATGAGAGGAGAGAGAAGAACAAAGATAAATAAATGAGTGGTATGAGCGAAACCATGGGAAAGATCAAAAGTGAAATGACACAGCAAACAAAAGTTAAGAAAAGGGTAAAATAGTAATCGTAAAATACATATTTTGAGGGATAAAATGGGTACCACACTATTCATAAGGGTTTTCTAATTGCCAAGTTGTGACTTTTTAAAGGTTATAGATTTATGATGCCACCTTATTCGCTATTGTTAGTTACATGTTAGTTTTTATAAAAAATAATTATTTTAAAATATGTTATGTCATTCGTAGGATTATTTTTATGTGAAAAGATTTTTTTTTATTTTTAAATAATTAAAATCATAAATCACTATTCGTTGTTTTTTACATTTAAAATTAAATTTTCAAATCTCATTCGTTAATTTTGCTTAAGTGATATCAATTATTAACGATAAGGATTATCATTATCTTACGAGGAGCTATATATATATATATATATATATTATTTGCTCATTTATCAAATGAGCAACGATTCTTTATTCATTTATCAAATGAGTAAATTTTTTTTTTTCTCATTTATCAAATGAGCAACATTTATTTGTTCATTTATCAAATGAGCAAATAATTATTGTTCATCTATCAAATGAGCAAATAATTATTGTTCATCTATCAAATGAGCAAATAATTATTGTTCATCTATCAAATGAGCAAATAATATTAGCTCATTTGATAAATGAGCAATAATTCTTTGTTCATTTATTAAATGAGCAATAATTCTTTGTTCATTTATTAAATGAGCAAACAATATTTCTTTGTTTTGTTTGCTCATTTATCAAATGAACAACTATTCTTTGTTCATTTATCAAATGAGCAAAAATTCTAAAACATTCAAACTAATATGAAGCGAGCAAACAATGTGCAATATTTTTTAGAACATATGCAACATATTTTAGAACATACTTAATTTTTTAGAACATAATTCGTTAATATAGAACATGAATTGAAATTCGATTTTTACAACGAATTGATTCGAAATCAGTTAATTCTTGATTTCCAATGTAATATAAAACAGTTGAATTGTTGTTTTGTTTCTTAAATTAAATACCTTGAAATTTCAAACTCTATATAATTTGCCCAATTTGATTGATATGGATGAAAAAAATTTGATTTCACATATTAAACTGTCAATTAAACTTGGTTTACCTTTGATTAAGCTTCACAACTTGAATTCTTGATTATAATTGTTCAAAAGTTGATATAAAACACACAAAATTTTAGCATGTGGTGATGGTGGTCGTCGTGGGAGAGGAGAGAGAGTGTTGGCCATGATGGCAGGGAAAAGAGAAAGAGTGTTGGTGGTGGATGTGGTGGCATAAAGGTTGTGGAACATGTAGTGGTGGTGATAGAGGAGCTAGAGATTGGATAGTGTTGGTGGGGAGAGGAGAGAGAATGTTGATGTTGAAGATGGTAGGTTGGATGGTATTAAAAATGAAACCTTAACATTAACATTTTTTATCACAAATTTGGTAATAGGAGAGAGAGTGGTGGCGACGGCGGTGGTGGCAAAGCTATGAGACATGCGACGGTGGCGGTGGTGCTGTTGGGAGAGGAGAGAGAATGTTGAGGTTGAAGATGGTGGGTTTAGTTTATTTTCAGAACATCTACCTTAACATATTAGAACATAGATGTTAAACATAAGTAGAGAGTATCGATGATTTAATTTGACATGCCATTACTATATTTTTTTTGGACCATTAGATTTAATTTGATCAATGGTCTGGATTTGTTCTCATATAAATTATAGTTCTCACACAAGGGATGTGTTCTCACATGATCCCATATATATATATATATATATATTAGATTCTTTTATTAATTCCTACCATATTGTCCACATCAGCCGAAGAAAATAAATTAATTTTTTTTATCGATGCAGCTACAAACCGCTACTTGAAGTGACAATTTCCATTTTAAAAACCGCTACTACTTCAAGTAGCGGGTTCTAAAATGAAAACCACTACTTAAAGTGGTTGTTTTCTGATATAAACCGTTACTTGTTTTTGCTGTAAGGGTTTTTTTTTTTTTTATTTATAATTTTCAATACGCAAGCAGCCAAAAAATCCTGCAAAGGCCATTTGTGCCTGTAAAATCTACTATTACAACCTGCCAAGTCCATACACAATGAATCATCAACACAATCTCCATAGGTAACAAATTTATGAACTTAAATATTCTAATTCATGGAACTCCAAATTTATATATTCAAGGTATTTTATAAGAGCAATGTCAAATATTTGTGAGATGATCATATATAACAAAGTGTCAAATACTAATCTTTGCAAAATATCATATGACAACGTAACCAAAATATACACACCTAGCTCATACGTTTCTTCTTCCCATGAAGTGATGATGAAGATGATGTAGCTAACCCGTCCTCTAGAATGTCATGCTGGCCAACTCAAGCTCCAACTCCAAGCTGAGATTCACTAGTGACACGTCGTCGAACTCTCTGGTACTAGCGTTGCACTAGTGGAGGAGATGTGATGATAGTATGTTGAGGAGTAACAACTAGAGTTTGAGGAGGTGGAGGGGGGAAAAGGAGGAGTAGAAGTAGTAACTAGATGTCGAACAGTAGGATGGAGAAGGAGAAGGAGCATGTAAGGGAGAAGGAGCATGTAAGGGAGAGTGAGTAGGTGGACGAAAGGCACGTGATGATTGACCACCACAATGAGGTGGTGTGGTCTGATCGATCGGGTGTGCACAACCGAAGCAGAAGAAGATAGCAAAGTGGACACTTGAGGCTGCTAAATAAGGTGCGAATGTTTCACCCTAGACAAGGTCTGACCACAAAAATATGTAAGACTCTATATCATCTATATGGCAAATCAGAAATGGTCTCACTAGCTCCCGATAGCCTCATGTGCAAATCAGCAATTGCATGCACCTAAATTGTAGTTCAATTTTAATGTCAATATAATGAATTCAAAAACGAAATAACTAAATTATAATTAAAATGAAAAGAAGTTCGTACAAGTACTAGGTCAAAGCTAGATGGCCGGTAATGACTCGAGGGATGTGTCTGGAAGGTGGAGTAATGATCAGCCTCGTTGATATGACGCTACCAAGCCAGGTACTATGTCACGACTGATTAAGATGTCCCTGTGAACGAGTTTCCCTAGACTACTAATGCCTCTTGTCGGCTCCACTCTTGCACATTTGTCGAATGTCGAGTCTCCTAATTACGATGTCCCATTCGATCCTTCTTGTGTAGAGCAACGTCCGTGTCAACTACCTATGGGATCGACTACTCAACCCAAACTGATGCATGACTCAGTGTAGGAGGTGGAACTCAACAACGTCAAAGCAAATCAGAGGGGCTCGCGTACGCCAAATGTAAATGTCAAAGCAACAAATCTTAGGAAGTCATTCCATCACTACCTCGGTATATATATGGCTACCAAATTATCTAATTAAAAAAATAAGGTTTTTATCAGTATAGGATAATTATAACTATTATAAGGAACGAATACCAATGCATGAAGAAAAAGTAAAACACTGATTATACCTGGTCCTCACGTTGATGGTCAAATGCATCTCGATAATATGAGATTCCAGAAGCAGTATGTGCACACAAAAGATGTACATGAAGCCAATTGTAAAATTTAGTTAATAAAAAATTTTAGTTCTTGTGTAAAAGCAATTTATGAACAAAAAATTTAAGTAATACACTTCTTGCACGCCAAGGAGTCAACTCCTCGCTCATGCTGAGTCCCCAAAATGTCCTCCTCCTCCTGAACGTCCTTCTGCGGCGGATCTTGAGGCCTCCTAACATAGGATCGACCAATGCAAATATGCTTCCACGACCACAACTGCACTAGGTAAGTGGACCTCTAATCTGACATGCTCCTCTCTAACATAAATTGGGCTTAAGTAACACCCATTTCTCACACTTTAAAAATTTCATGATTGTTTGATCTTTACGTAACACTTTTGTAACAGTGTGGTAATAGATAACATTTTTGTAACACTTTAATATTATGTAACACTTTATTGTAGCACTAAAGTGTAGCACTTTGATATGAGGTAGCACTTAATTGTAACACTTAATTTGATACTCCCTCCGTCCCCAAATGTTCTTCCCATTTATTATTTTGACACTATTCATAAGGTGAGAGAATCTTCTAAATTACTCTTAATATATAAGACATAACATAGTCATTTCGTATCTTATTTTTTTCATCTTAATGAATAGTTTTTAAATATTCAATTGTTATATTTTTCACTAATGAGAAACTAACGATATTTATGGTTAAAATTTTACATTGGAAAACGTGCACAGTTAAAATGGAAAGAACATTTGGGGATGGAGAAAGTATGATCAATCCTTTTTTTTTTCTTATCAATTTTTTTTAAATAAAAAAATACACCTTTTATCTTGTCAAAAAATCAACCCTCATATCCTCACTGTCTCGTGATCGGCAGACAATAGGTCGTGTCTACTATCCTAAATCAAATCAATAATTTATATTCCTAACCTAACTCTATCAAGTTTACACTAGATAGCGGCAAGCTAGGGTTGAACCCACAAGGAAACGGGGTATTGAACAATCAATGTGGAATTAAGAATCTATTGCAAGTAGTAACAATGGGTATTTTGGTTTGTTTTTGTGAATTTCTAAGATTAAACTATCTACCAAAAAGACTAAAACGAGCAAAACAAAGAAGTTCAAACTAGAAACACTAAAATAAAGAGGGAAAACAAGATTTTAAGGGTAATATGATAAAAAACACTAGGGAGAGGGGGTTCCAATCATGATCGACTAAGACAACTATGATAATCATCATGGATTCATGCCAAGGAGTACAAACTCTACTTATTCATTCTCATGCAATCACTCAAGCAAGTTGATGAAATAGATCAAACCTAAACTAGATCATTCTCATGCATCTAATCTAGAACTCAAATATTGGAACTAAAGGTGCACAACAATAGCTCCAAGCATTTTAAGCACAAAATCATCAACTCAAGGCAAAACCTAATCAATCATCAATATCAACTCAACCAATCATGATTTTCACCATTTTTCCTAGCTAGAAATCTAA